ACTTAGCATGTGCAGATACACACAAACCTGCATATACCAACACCATGACTGTGAAAACTACAAACACAAGTGTCAGGGGGCTTGTATTTGGTGATTCAAATTCACAAGCAGTGTGGCCAGTAGTAACATGATTTTTTGAGATGGTGAATAACTCTTACTATGGTTCTGAACATATAGAGTACACAGTTGCCTTGATTTTCACAGTATCTTAAGAAGTCATGTATGGATATGAGATTTGGATTATAAAGAAAGCTGAGTACCAAAGAATTGATGCTTTTGAACTGTGGTGTTGAAGAAAGCTCTTGAGAGTCCTTTGGACTGCAAGGAGATCAAACCAGTCCATCCTAAAGGAAATCAGTCCTGAATTTCCTTGGAAGGACTGATGCTGAAGCTGAAACTCCAGTACTTTGGCCACCTGATGGGAAAAACTGACTCCATGGAAAAAACCCTGATCCTGGAAAGGATTGAAGGCAGGAGGAAAAGGGGACGACAGAGGATGAGATGGTTGGATGGCATCACCGGCTTGACGGACATGAGTTTGAGCAAGCTTTGGGAGTTGGTGATGGTCAGGGAAAGCTGGCGTGCTGCAATCCATGGGGTTGCAAATAGTTGGACATGACTGAGCAACTGAACTGAACTGAACTGAACTGAACATTGTGCAGGATGGCAGGATGGCCCCAGGCATCACTGGCGGTCTTGTTTCCTGGACCTTGCCTACCAAATGTGACTAGCGCCCTTCCATCATCATCATGATCAAAATGCTCCCCAAGTCCTCCAAATGTCCCCCAAGGGGCAGTGGTACTCCGAGGAGCACCACTGGCCTTACCTTCAGGCAGCATTCTCCCAGCTTTCCATCAGCCTCACTTCACCTCTTCTATTCTGGTTTGAACCCCCAGGCCCAGTCCTTATTGCCTTTAAGCAGATCTCAACACCCACTCCCCGTGCACTGCCCTTAATTTCACTTCTGTCTTCATTTCTGGTCCCTGGTGAGTTTCCTCTTGGGCTATTAAGTTTGAGTGGATATCCTCATGTTTTTATGATGTGTTGTCCAGCCTAACTATGCATCTGTGGCAAGAGAGGTTGCTGTCAGTCTCAGTTTCACCTGATAATTTACCGGAAATCACATGTGGTTCCATTTTCTCCCTGTCTCACTGCAGTTCCTGTCCTCATGGCGATGTTGTTCAGGTGTGGCCATTACAAGTCCACCTCACACTTCCGCTGGTCATTGACCCCAACCACCCCCGACCAGGGCTTCTCAAGTCCACCATCTATAGTCATCACACCCCTGTTAGGACAACACCTGTTCCAAGTTTTTCATGACCGAGGCCTTGGTTCCTAACTCACCCCTGCAGTGTCAGGGCATCTGGTTCTAGAAAGGTCTCAGTCATGGCCTCATGACTTGCTCACTCACCCGGAACCAACCTGCCCCCACCCCATGACAACCCGGTTTCAGCCCCCTCCCCAGCCCAGCTTATCCCCCTCTGCAGTGAGTCTCCCATCTGCCCACTCCCAGGGCATCCCTCGGGATTGGTGGTGACATCAGGCAGGACCACATGAGTTAGGATTTCCCTGGTGGTCCAGTGGTTAAGAATCTGCCTTGCAAATACAGGGTACATGGGGGTTCGATCCCTGATCAGAGAACAGATCACACACGCCATGGAGCAGCTAAGCCCACATTACAACTACTGAGCTTGCGGGCCACAACTAGAGAGTCTGTGCACCACAGTGAAATCAATAAAATACTTTTAAAAAAACAACACACGAATCAGCAGAGACATCCTATAACCTTGACCCTCAGGTACTCAGGGGTCAGCATGTCAATCCCTTTCTCCCCAGAAGGGATCTCAGCCCCCTGGGCAGCTGTGCCCTACTCCCTGTAACAACCCTCTGTATTAGTTTTCTGTTGCTTCTGTAACAGGCGACCACACTCTGAGTGGCCTCAAACAAATGAATTCTCTATTGTTCTGGAGGGCAGACCTCTGAATTGAGTTCTGTAGGCTAAAGACGAGGTGTCGACAGAGTTAATTTCTTCTGTTGGTGCCAAGGAAGAGTCTGTTTCCTTGCCGTTTTCAGCTTCTAGAAGCTTCCTCAATCCTTGGCTCATGACCCTGCATCATATGGCCTTTTCTCCCTCTGCTTCCATCATCATCCCATCTGTTCCTCCACTGACCTCCTTGCCTCCCTTCCATATGATTTGAGGCCCACCCAGATAGTCCAGGATCACACCCTCCCCAGCAAGATCCTTACCAGAGCTAAAGAGCTCCTCCTGCTAAATAAGGGAACATTCCATGGATCCAGGAATTAGGACTTGGGTATGAAACTCCAATACTTTGGCCACCTCATGCGAAGAATTGACTCATTGACCCTGATGCTGGGAGGGATTGGGGGCAGGAGGAGAAGGGGATGGCAGAGGATGAGATGGCTGGATGGCATCACCAATTCAATGGACATGAGTTTGAGTCAACTCCAGGAGTTGGTGTTAGACAGGGAGTCCTGGCGTGCTGCGATTCATGGGGTCGCAAAGAGTCAGATACGACTGAGCGACTGAACTGAACTGAACTGATCTTTGGGTGGGTGAAGGGGCATCAGTCAGTCCACCACACTCTCCACCACTTTATAAAAGCGAGTGGGAGTGCTGAGGTCATCAAACCAAAGAAGAAAAATGTTTACAAGCTGTTGCACACATCTAGGGTTTCCACAATGACTCAGCAGGTAAAGAATCCACCTGCACTGCAGGAGACACAGGAGATGTGGATTCAGTCCCTGGCTTGTGAAGATCCCTTGGAGGAGGAAATGGCAACCCACTCCGGTCTTCTTGCAGCCCTCTCCACCAGTGGACAGAAAAGGAGCTAACAAGGTTTGTGTGGAAGTTTCTTGTCTTGTATTAGTAATCATTACAATAATGGGTCTCACCTTAGCATGAATCTTGTTGATAAAAAGTACAGAATTCTAACAACAAATAGAACACACTTTCTGTGCCAAGTCTACACATGTTTTATCTCCTTTGAATTACCCTCAAAAGCCTACTAGTGGTACCTTCCTTGTTTTCTGGACAAGGTAACTGAGGCACAACTAAGTAGCTTGTCCAAATTTTCTAAGTTAATGAGAGGCAAATCCACGATTGGGAGCCACACACATTTGGACTCAAGAGCCTGCTTCTAACAGAGAGCCTGCAGATCATTCTGCTGCCCAATTCTACCACCACACTGCTGTGTGACCTCAAGTCAGCTCCCTTCCCTCTCTGGGTATTGGTTAAAGCAGAAGTAATAAGCTAGGTCAGGATTTCTTAACCCTCAACTCTACTGACATTCCAGTGGCAGGGGCTGTCCAGAGCACCGTAGGATGTAGAGCAGCATTCCTGGCCTCCGCCCACTAGATGGCAGGAGCGTCCCTCCGCTCATCCCCTTCTCCATTGTGATAACCATAGATGTGGAGGAGGGACTCTCCCCTGGTTAAGAACCACTGAGCAGTCACCCATCAGGACTTGCCAAACTTAAAATATTCTGAGATAATTTCTTTCATTCTTTCTTTAGCTTCAATTTAGGAATCGCTTTATATTCAGGAAGCTCTCTTAGCAGGCAAGAGTTCAGATGCAATGTGCAAGCTAACCAGTCTTATAAATTAGCACAAACATATGTCAGTGATTATTAATTAAATACCTCCATCGCATCACTAATAGCACTGGCGGAGGACAATATTACCATTCAGAGTACACTGTTACCCATTTCTCAGTTTCGTATCACATGAGGTATAAGAGTAAACAGTTTGTTTAGGGGTTTAAACAAAAGCTGTTGCTTTTCATGTTGAAGGAAAGAGGAATCTCCCCAAATAGAAACAGAGTCTGCTCACCCTCCAATCCTGCCACTTTCTGCAAGACCTTCTCAAGGAGCCAATTTACATACGGTGGACCAAAAAACAAAAAAGACTGGCCCTCAGAGTCGGCTTATCTTTTTCCTTCTCCCTGTGGTCTCAGGATTGTGAGCTTGCCTCTTAGCTTTAAGTTTTTCCATTACATTGTTATAGAAGCTCTCCAGCCCAACTTCTACCTGGCACATATATACCATGTTCATATCATTTGACTTCATCTCCCATTTAAATCAGTTTGGGGTTCTTTGGGTACTGACTGAAGCAATGAAAAATATAGACAAATGTCAAATTTTGTATTCCAACTCTACCACTGGTTGTGTGATTCTGTGCAAGTGCTTTAATGTATCAGCCTCAGTTTTATCATCTTTAAAATGGGAGTAGTACTACTTATCTCATGGATGTCCATAAAGATTAAACTAAATCATATCTATTAAGCATCTAGATAGTGCCTGCCCTTTTGCCGAAGTGCTGGGTCAGAAGGCAGAGAAGTGGCTTTGGGCTGCTCCCTTAGCTTCTTACTCTCACTAGTGAAGAATAGAGCTCATGTACATGAGATGGTTTAGATGTATATTAAGAGACGGAAAGAGGTAGAATAGTCAGTCTGTGAATAATGAACATCTGACTATGCATAATCACTTTGGGAAACACAGGTCCTAAAGTCTGAGTCCATGCTGGCTTTAAGAAGGATCAAGTGTCCAGCTTGATCATGAGCTCAGTGTGGGAAGCTTCACCACACACAATTCACCTGCACATGTGGTCAGCCTGAAAAATCAGATCCACTGGGCTACCAAACTCCTGAATCAGAGGAAAGAACAGAAGCAATATTCCATAGGATAAGTTTAAATTTAGCATAAGAGACTAATCTGTGTGTGTGCGCTAAGTCGATTCAGTTGGGTCCAACTCTTTGTGACCCTATGGATTGTAGCCCAGCAAGCTCCTCTGTCCATGGGATTCTCCAGGCAAGATTACTGGAGTGGGTTGTCATGCCCTCCTACAGGGGATCTTCCTGACCCAGGCCTCTATTAAAATATTTATCAGCTCTTTGGCTAATGACCCCTTTCACCTCCTGTATCAGTAAGTTTTTACTAGGTTATGATGTGTAAAAGCAACCCACAAATCTCAGTGGCTTACAACTTAGCTTTATTTCACCATTTCTTTATTTGCTTGGAGTCACAGATCTTCAGCTCTATTCCACATAAATTCTCATTTCAGGATACAGGTTGAAGGAACAGCATCTGTCAAACAAAGCCTCATGACAATCATGGGGCAAAGGGAAAGAGAAAGAGATCTGACTGAAACACACAATTTTAAAACGGTTCTTTGAACATGCTTTGCATTACATCTACTCATATGCCATTGGGCAGAGCAAGTCATGTGGATAAATCTAACATCGATGGGTTAGGTGGTAAGGACACATCTCTGAATTGTGTGGGGGGTAGAGGTGGCTTATGCTCCAAGCATTTCCAAGCCTTCTCTGATTTCAAACAAATTTTCAATTTTGAGAAGACAAACCAAGTGAAAGGCTTCTTATACACACAAAGAGAAGGCGAACTCTCAAAGTTCCTCCTGAAGGTTCTTAGGGTCTATGGACTCCAACTAGGGTCTTTCTAACAGATTTCCAACAGATCCCCTACTCTCTAAATTTATTTTGCTAGAGCAGGGCGGAATCCAGTTATGAGGACAATAACCCATGACAACATCTTTTTCAGGTATCTTTGTGGCTTTTAGGCATTTTCAGCAGAAGAATATTATAATTTCTTTCTAGACTTGCTACAGCTACGAAAAGAATCTGCCTGCAATGCAAGAGACCCAGGGTCAATCTCTGGGTCAGGAAGATCCCCTGGAGAAGGGAATGGCAACCCACGGCAGTATTGTTGCCTGGAGAATTCCATGGACAGAGGAGTTTGGCAGGCTATAGTCCGTGGGGCCCCAAAAAGTCAGACACAACTGAGTGGTTAACACTTTCACTTTCCTTCATGGCTATGATAGCTTTCACATTAGTAAAAGATGAAAGGACATATAAAGAAAATGGGATATGTATGCACCTTGGGAGGAGTGGGCCCCAAAGGAATATAGAAATGCTGTCACCAAATAATAAAAAGGATGGTGAACAGCCAAAACTACAAGGATTGAGGAACACCAGTTCTTCCATTGGTTCCTGAAATTTCTTCCACATCTAAGATGCTTTAACTCTAAGTTTAAAAATTAATTTCTCTACCCAGACTTCAAACCAACTGCAAAATCATTTTCTAGGTATGATACTTTCCTTCACACCACTCACTCTCCCCTCTGCCACTAGGAAAGACGCTCCCAAGTTGTCCCTAACTATTTTATTTAAACAAAGGACCCTTTTCTTCCAATTCACTAGCTCCACCACCACCCCAAATCCCATCACTCATCTTCCTAGTTTTATGATTTCCCTCATTTCCCCAATGACTTTCCTTGGAAAACTTTGCTGTCCTTGTAGGTCTCAGTCAGCATTCTGAACATTCTTGCAGCAGCACTATGAATGTTCACATTGAATCTGTTATGTTCACTAAAGGAAAAGAGCTCACTCATCTTTGTTATCACCAATAACTATCTATCATATTGGCTATCTATGGAGTCCCTGATAATTTTCTAGGCTCTGTGCTCCAGAGTTTTCACTTATGAGAATCACCTCTGAGTATAGGAGAGAATATATTATGACTCCAATTGAAGAGGTGAATCAGATGGGGACTCAGAAATGTGAAGTGCTTGCCCAAGGTCACAGGAGCTAGCAACTGGCAGAGTAGGCATTCAAACTCAGTTTTGCCTGCTCTCAGTGTCCATGTCTTCCTTCTACATCATGCTTCCCTCCACCTAAATACTGGATGAAACAAGCATTATGAAGGGCGCGCCACGCTGGGCCAGAACAATGCCCATTAAGTGGAATTCACACCTACCTTGTACTTACTGCACACTTCGATTCACTCAACAGACTGAGGAATGGAACGGGAGACACTTATTCCTCTCCAGACAATAAATCACTGGCTTTCTATCTGTCACCAGCTCGATTTTCCAAAGATTTGTTTTCGTCACTTTAATGAATTATTGGATCACCTGGAAATTGCTCAGAATTAACCTGTGGCTGACATTAATGGATCTGCAACACAAGTGTCAAGCTCTCTCTAACCAGTCCTATCCATCCTTTTACAAAGAGACCAGCTGCCCGGCACAAGGCGGTTCATTTATTCTGAGGCTGCATCTGCCCCGGTCTGCCGTGGGGAGGTGAACAGGCGCCGGAAGAGCCTGAGGAGAACAAAATGGCGTCCTCTACTGCAGGGGCCCATGGGCGCTGCCTGCTGCTTCCGCCCTGCCATGTGGGTGGAATCACGATAATCCCATTATAACTTGCCACACCATCCTCAGTTCTTTGGAGAGCCTTAGCAAGCTTCGAGCTTCTTTACTAGAATCCACTCTGTATCTTAAACATTCTTGAGTCCTCTAAGCTCTTTACTCCAGATCTATCCCTAATTCAAACAGTTCTCTCCATCTCCCATGTTGCCAGCCTTATCAAGCTGCTCCCACTTCAGGCCTCAAGAGCTAGCACAAAGCAACTTCTTTGTTCTCCCTGCTGCCCACTCTCAACCTTCAATATCCATTCACTACAGAGTGTCTAGAGTGATCACTTTAAATCAGATCATGCCAACTTCCACTCTGCTTAAAGTTCCTCCTGGCTTCCCACTTCACTTGACAGGAAATCCCCAAGAGCCTCCAAGACCTGGCTCTGTCCTCCACACCGCCTCCTTATCAATCTAGTACCTTGCTCCAAACTCTCTTTTGGCTGCCATCACTTGGGCGTTTGTTCCTCCCACATTCCACTCTTTTTTTAGTCTTGTTTTGCTAACCGTCCATCCACAGCACTATGACAGAACTAGGCACGTAGCAGGTACTTACTGTGTTGACTTGATCAATTAATCGGTTATTTTCAGAGTCTTAAGAAGGTGGTGGAGAATGGGGAAATTGACGGCTGCTGATCCCTTGTGAGTGGTTTTACAACAAAGCTCCACTCATGAGAAGCCCCATAGCTCACTGAGCTCCTCTGCCATCTCCCTTCACGCTCCGGTGTTAATTTTCAGGTTGTCAGTCGACTCTCTAGACAAGGAAGTGGTACACTTCTCCTGCAAAGGGCCGGATGGTAAACATTTGTCCCATTCAGTAGCTGTGACAGAGAACCCATGCTGCCTTTTCCAGGAGGCATTCAGTCTCTGTCACAACTACTCTACACTAACATTGTAGTGCAAAAGGTCAGAAACAACAGGTAAAGGTACAGGCCTCCTATTGACAGTAAAACTTTATTGACCTGTGACAGGCTGGAGCTGGTCCACTGGCTATAGCTTTCTAAATCCTGTTTACAAGTTTCGGGAGTAACCTTAATACAAGGCTGGCCACCACTCACTAAGGACCCACTGAAGAACGTCCAATACAGTAGAGATGAGAATTCACCCACTGCTGTGACAATCAAGAAAGCCCTCTCCATGGTCTTCCTTTTCTGGGAGAAGTCTTTCACATCATAAATGTGGGAATCAAGCCTGTCATCTATTACAGCCTCCCCCACAGACAAGATATGCAGCCGTGAGTGTGTGTTAGTCACTCAGTCATGTCTGACTCTTTGTGACCCCATGGACTGTAGCCCACCAGGCTCCTCTGTCCATGGGATTCTCCAGGCAAGAATACCGGAGTGGGTTGCCATTCCCTTCTCCAAGGGATCTTCCTAACCCAGGGATCAAACCTGGGTCTCCCGCATTGCATGCAGTTTATCATCCGAGCTACCAGCAACAAGTTACCAAATTATTTCTCCTATAAAATGGAACAAAATCCCTTAGGGTTTTTTTAAAGAGCAAAGGAGACAATGTTAAGTGATTCCAGGTGAAGTGAGAATCACCAAGCAAACATGTACACACATGTGCAGGCGCGTGCCCTGCAAATACAGTTTTGATTGTCAGTGCTCAGCCAACAACCTGGCTTTTGTCCTCCCAACTGATGTTTACAGTCTACAGGCACAGCTGAATTGCTCAGGACAACAGATGACATTCTTTGTAATGCTTTAGGGAAAGAGGTGAGAGAAAGATGAAGCAACTGGCAAGAAGGGAAGATTTTGGTAAAAAAATAAAAACAGGTGTTTGAAAGGGATTTTCATGCTGTATGTGGTATCTGATATAAAATCTCTCCCTTCACCACCCATGAGACTTTCTTATTACTGCATTGGGGAGTCGGGTCCATTTCTTTTTAGGGGGTTTTAAGGCATGAGCTGAGGACAAGTGCTCCCTTGCCTGGCACATTCAAGGTTCAGTAAATGCTAGTTGGGCTTCCCTGATAGCTCAGACAGTAAAGAATCTTCCCGCAATGTGGGATACCCGGATTCGATACCTGGGTCAGGAAGGGAATGGCAACCCACAGTTAGTTCCCTTCCCATTTTACCTTCATCATTTTGTCTTTACAAAAAACACCTTGGTGATTCAGACTCAATACCAGAAATCAGCAAGTCTCAAGTATGGATGTTTGTTAAAGGAAGAGAGTGATTCAAATGAGGCTTGCCCGATAGAGGTCCCTCAAGGACACACGAGAATGGCTTGCAATTAGCATACTCATTCTTAATATATAAATGGGTTATTCTAAAGTGCTGAAGTATGCTTAAAAGCAGTTTGATTCTCAGTAGTTCAAGCATTCTCTTTGCAACCTTTCCTCCATGCTATTTACATTTCTTAAGAATGGGGAAACCAGAGACCAACACTTTGCCTGAATTATAACAAATTACAAATTAATAATTATCCCAGTACTCCCTGGGAGAGAGAACTCAAATTTGAGCCATGGGAAAGAGAACTCAACCAGGTTCCAATTGATTTTTCCCATATGTGTTCGTTTGAGCCTGAATAAATCACCTATTCTGTCTGGGTTTCAGTATCTTAACATATTCAAAAACATCTTGTGTGTATTGATCGGAAAAGTTAATACTGTTAAGATGTCAATATACTGAAAATGATCTACACATATTCTTGACATTGTCTAACATCTGAGCTGTGACTCATCTCCTGGGTGAGGTGCTCTAGAAAGTTATTATTTTTGTTGTTTGTCCTCCCCTTGTCCTGGAGATATGTGCATGCATGCACACACACACACACACACACACACACACACACACACACAATTTTACCTCTTTTCTTGCTAATGTTTTTGGTATTATATTTAAGAATTTGGTGCTAAAGCCAAGATTGTGAAGTTTTACCTTTATGTTTTCTTCCAGGGGTCTTATGGTTTTAGCTCTTATATTTAGGTCTTTGATCCCTTTTGAGTTGAACTTTGTCTGTGGTGTGAGGTTGGGGTCTAACCTCCTTCTTTTGCACATGGAAATCCAGTTGTCCCAGCACCAGCTGTTGAAGAGACAATTCTTTCTCCACTGAATAGACTTGTCACCCTTGTTAAAAATCAATTGGCCATAGATATATGGATTTATTTCTGGACTCTCAAATCTATTCCATTGGTCTGTATGTCTATCCTTATGTCAGAAGCACACTATTTTAATGATTATAGCTTTGTAATATGTTTTGGAATGGGGAAGTAGGAGTTCACCAACATAATTATTTTTCAAGATTGTTTTGGCTACTCAGGCCCCTTGAAAATCCATATGAATCTGAGGAACAACTTTTTCATTCCTGCAAGAAAGGCCATTATAAAACTCATAGGCCATTGAATCTGTACATCACTTCTATATATTGACTTCTTAACAATATTGTTTTCCAGTCCATGAACACAGGATGTATTCTTATTTATTTAGGTCTTATTTAACTCCTTTCAGTAGTTAAAATAATTACATTTTTGTAGTTTTCAAGATATAAATATTTACCTCCTTGGTTAATTTTTTTCCTTTGATATTTTATTATTTTAGATGCTATTATACAAGAGATTGGGCTTCCCAGGTGGTACTAGTGGTAAAGAATCCACCTGCAATGCAGGTGATGCAGGATACTTGGCTTCAATCCCTGGGTCAGGAAGATCCCCTGGAGGAGGGCATGGCAACCCACTCCAGTATTCTTTCCTAGAGAAAACCATGGACAGTGCTCAGTCCATAATGTTGCAAAGAGTTGGACACGACTGAAGCAATTTAGCAGGCGTGCATGCCTTCTTAATTTTTTTTTGGATTGTTCATTGCAGGTCTATATATTCAACTTGTGTTAATTTTGTCCCCTGCAACTTTGATAAATTTTGTGTTAGCTCATCAGCAGCTTTTTTGTAGATTCTGGGGATTTTCTGTGTATAAGGTCATGTCATCTATGAACAGAGATAATTTTCCATCTTCTTTTCCAGTTTGAATTCTTTTCATTTCTTTTCCTTATCTAATTGCTCTTATGAGAATTTCCAGTACAATGTTGATTATCCGTAGTAAAAGCAGGCATCCTTGTCTCATTCCTAGTCTTAGAGAAAAGGTTTTCAGTCTTTCCCCATTGAATGTGTTAACTGTAAGTTTTTCAGGAATGCTGTCTATTATGTTGAGGAAGTTTCCTTTATCCTTTGTTTCTTTATATTTTTTAACCATTAAAGGGTGTTGAATTTTATCAAATGCCTTTTCTTTATCATCTGAGATGATTGCATGTTTTTCTTCATTCTATCAGTTTTATGTGTTATATTGACTGACTTTCTTACATTGAGCCACCCTTACATTCCTGGGAGAAATCCCACTTGGCCATGATATATAAACTTTTTAATATGCTGTTAGCAGCAGCAGATTCTATTTGGTAGTATTTGTTGATTTAAAATAACATTTTTAATAAAAGTCAAATCCTCAAAAATCCACTGTAGCCATATTGTAATGAACAGGAGCTCTCTTGTCTCCTGCCTACATATAATTAGCTTATCCTCCTAGCAATTGCACTAGATTTTTACTTTGAAGTATAGATGATAGCTTAAATAACTGATCTTTTATATTCTTAAACATATATATGTTCTTGCGTGTGCCTGTCCCTGTGTGTGTGTGTGTGTGTGTGTGTGTGTGGTTGAGGCAGTACAGCACAGTAGTCTACTCCAGGCTTTGGGAGTAAAAATCTCCCAAAGTCAGAAAGATCTGCGCTCAGCTCCTAGTCCTGTGACACAGCATTTGTGAGAGCCTTACCAATGTCTTAGCTTCCCTGAGCTTCAGTTTCATCACAGGATAGTTTCATCTCTAGCTCTCAGAGCTGTTAGGGAAAAAAAAAAAAAGAACAAATGAGAGTCTGTATGCAAAATATTTAGCACAGTGCCTAGCATAAGACAGAAAGTCTCAATAAAAAGAGCAATTTGCTTATCAGAATAATTTAGATTTAACAAATTACAAGTGTGTTATGTTTGTGCATTTTTTTTCTCCCTGGGAGTTTAGTTTTTTTTGGGAAAAGCTGCTCAGTTAACATGAATTTGAAATGGCGGCTGTGGTTACACCTACTCAGCGAGATGTGCCAATGAGATAATTCCATCAGGCATCCAGATATGGTCACAGAGAAGACTGACTGGAGATATGGACATCTTACTCACATGCTGAGTGCAGTGGTTCTGCTTTATCAGCGTGGGAAGGGGGGCAGTGCTCAGCCTCATCTAGCCTGATATTTCCTCTCTGATCTCCATTCTGGGCCAAGGGGAGGTGCATTCCATCACTAAGGTGATGGGTGACTTCCCAGGAAGGAAGCATGGCTGAGTGGGTATCCTAGACTAGAAGCTGTTGGAATTAAAAAAATAAAAAATCAGGTATTTGAGCTGCAGTCTAAAGTCATGGCCTTGATTACAGACTAATAAAAGAGAAACTGCTAATATCACTGCCTTGTTTCTCGGCTTTTTCTCAAGAAATGGTACTCTGTTTAGGGTAGACTCACCTTTCTGCAACACCCCATATGAAAGAAAAAAATGCATCCAATTCCAGAAATGATGCAGCAATTGTAAAAGCTGAAGTATGCTTAAAGAATCACTATGACCAAAGTTCATTGTTGGGGTGATTGTATGCTGGCTAAGAGCAAGGTCTCAGCCAACAGAGTGCCTCCCCTGAGGTCCAGAATGTTCCACCAGTGACCTGTTAGCTGTGTGATCTTGGACAGGGCACTTCCTCTCTCTGCACCTTAGTTCTATCATCTGTAAAATGGTATAATAATAAAAGCTCTTGGGGGAGGAGTAGATGAGACTATGTGTTAAGCTCTGAGAGCAGTGCCCAGCACATCATAAGTATTCAACACATAAGAGCGATGATTCATTTAGCCAACATTTACAAGAGTTCATGACAGTAACTCCTCAAAGGGTGGTTGTGAGAAACAAATGAGATTACACAGCTCAAGTACTTGGAACAGAGTCAGCGCTCAAATCAAGGTTTGCTATCAGTATATTAAGGAGAAGAAGTTTACAAAATACTGATATAGAGCATGATCTCATTTTTCAAATATGCAGAGGAAGGGGAATGGGTACAAAGCTCCTTCTTCTCCTTCCCCTGAACCCCTGGTGCTGCTCCAGAAAACCTCAAATACCTAACAACATGTTCCACCCTGGAGTGTTAGGAAGAGCATGTTGCAGGTGGTTGAGAAGCCTTCAATACCCAAAGGCAAGAGTTTCCTAATGGGATCATGGGCACCTCCACCAGCTGTGCCAGATTCTGACCCTCATTCAAGACCCAGGTCTCCTGGAACAGGGGTCTTCACCCTGCAAGTCATGGACCCCTTTGCAGTCAGAAAGCCCATGACTCCTCCTTACAATAATGTGTTTAAATGCATAAGAGAGACTACATGGGGTTACAAAAGAAGACTATAATTTGGCATAAGCTATGATTTTTATGGGGCTTCCCTGATGGCTCAATTGGTAAAGAATCCGCCTGCAGTGCAGAAGACCTGGGTTCAATCCCTGGTTTGGGAAGATCCCCTGAATAAGGGAAAGGCTACCCACTTTGGTATTCTGGCCTAGAGAATTCCATGGACTGTACAGTCCATGGGGTCACAAAGAGTCAGACACGACTGAGCAACTTTCACTTTCTTCATGATTTTTATAAGTGAAAGTCACAGATACTACTAATGCCATTGTCATTTTTGTTTGTATTCATAACTGGTTGAAATGCTAGTTTTTAGTGGAAGTTAGTTAAAACTAATATGTAAAATTTCATCTTTCAATGCACAGACTCCTGAATTCTATTCACAGATATCGTGGGTCAGTGGTCCAGAGGTGAGAACCCTTGCTGGGATAAATATCCATTAGGCCTACCCTCTTAGGTTTCCCCGATGTCTCAGACAATAAAGAATCTGCCTGCAATGCAGGAGACCCGGGTTCAATCCCTGGATCTGGAAGATCCCATGGAGAAGGAAATGACAACCCACTCCAGTATTCTTGCCTGGGAAATCCCATGGACAGAGGAGCCTGGGGGGCCACAGTCCATGGAGTTGCAAAGAGTTCACAATTGAGAGACTAACAGACAGGCAGGCTGACTGAGTCGTTAAGATTTTGTTGTTTATTTCAGGAACAACAGACGTTCCATTATGTTCCTTGAAATCTAAGTGAATTGATTCAGAACACATAGCTTATCACCTTCTTTTAATTATGAGATTGAGAAAAACTACAAGTGCACCTTATGTTGAGGGAAAAATCCATCTAATTGGAATTGAATGGTATCAACAGCTAATTCTTTTTTTTAACACAGTGATTCTACATAGAGTAAATTGGTTTGGCTGATCAATGGAAAAGAATACTCTTTAAGGGCTTAATGAGAATAATTCCTTCTTTCCTTACAAAGTTCTCACAGCTAGATGGATGATCCTCTTGTCACCAAGTTTGGAAGTGATGCTGCCTTGCTTTTCATTAAAAAAACCAAAACACACAACCTTTTCTGAACCTTTTTAGCACAACAGATTCTATATGCACACATGTGTGTGCACATGCATATGGATATATTTTATCCAAGAGTTATGAAACTATGATAAATAATTCTGTACCTAACAGAGAAAGCCTTTTGAGATTGTTTCCAGCAAGAAACATCTAGAAGAGGTGAAAGACACAAGAGACTAGAGAGAGTGAGAGGGCAAAGCAATTCCTGATTCCCCTGAAACAAACATGTTTCCTTTTTTATCTTCCATTATCAGGTCAGTTATGGTGACTTTGCTATCAGGGAAACCATCCTTAGAACATTTACCCCAGTTTCAAGGATCAAAAAAATAAAAAGTGTTACAGAATGTCCCTCTTTTGATTTTTCCCTGCCTACGATTATCTATTGCTTCTCAAAGCAGAATCCCAAATATAGTCATTTCCTACTGTATCTGCAGCATATACCCAGTGCAAACACCTTTCCTTAATATATGCTATTTAACAATTTCGCTAAGTAAGGGCATATCAGAATAGCCTGGTATAGGTTGTGTGTATGTGTGCTAAGTCACTTTCGGAGGTGTCTGACTCTTTTCAACCCTGTGGACTGTGTGGCCCACCGGGCTCCTCTCTGTCCTTGGGATTCTCCAGACAAGAATACTAGAGTGTGTATACATTGCAATGCCCTCCTCCAGGGGATCTTCCTGACCGAAGGGTTGAACCCGCATCTCTTACATCTCCTGCACTGGAAGGTGGGTTCTTTACTATACGCATCACCTGGGAAAGCCCCCTGGTATAGGTTGGGCTGTGGTTATTTCAACACGAAAACAAGTCAAAAGTTTGGTTTGGTCAAGACAGTCAATTCTAGGAAGATAAAAAGGAATAGAACTACCTATGAGGGTGAAGATTCTTACCTCTTCTTATTAAACATCTAGCTATTGAAATCATTCAATTTTATCTTCCAGGACAGTCTAGAGAGGGAATTGAAAGCCTTCTTGAACTTAAGACCAAGAAATTCAATGTGTTTATGGATGTTTGCCTCATATATGTCTACACCATGTATTATTTACAATGATCATGACTTTTATGTGTCTGATCCTCATATCTGTGTATGTCAGTGCTGATATGCAATGTGGGTTAAATGACCAGCAGATGTTGCCTTTGCCTGGTCTCCAAGATTATGTTTTGTGGGTTGCTTACAAATGCCAGCAAAGAAAACTCAGCCATGCTTAGTATAGTCAAGAGCCCTAGATGTTGAGAATCTGAATCCCTGAGTCTATGAGATACTGTGACACTGCATTTAGATGAGCAAAGGTGGAGAAAAGGTTGTGTGTATGTGTGCTAAGTCACTTTCGGAGGTGTCTGACTCTTTTCAACCCTGTGGACTGTGTGGCCCACCGGGCTCCTCTCTGTCCTTGGGATTCTCCAGACAAGAATACTAGAGTGTGTATACATTGCAGTGCCCTCCTCCAGGGGATCTTCTTGACCGAAGGGTTGAACCCGCATCTCTTACATCTCCTGCATTGGAAGGTGGGTTCTTTACTATATGCATCACCTGGGAAAGCCCCCTGGTATAGGTTGGGCTGTGGTTATTTCAACACGAAAACAAGTCAAAAGTTTGGTTTGGTCAAGACAGTCAATTCTAGGAAGATAAAAAGGAATAGAACTACCTATGAGGGTGAAGATTCTTACCTCTTCTTATTAAACATCTAGCTATTGAAATCATTCAATTTTATCTTCCAGGACAGTCTAGAGAGGGAATTGAAAGCCTTCTTGAACTTAAGACCAAGAAATTCAATGTGTTTATGGATGTTTGCCTCATATATGTCTACACCATGTATTATTTACAATGATCATGACTTTTATGTGTCTGATCCTCATATCTGTGTATGTCAGTGCTGATATGCAATGTGGGTTAAATGACCAGCAGATGTTGCCTTTGCCTGGTCTCCAAGATTATGTTTTGTGGGTTGCTTACAAATGCCAGCAAAGAAAACTCAGCCATGCTTAGTATAGTCAAGAGCCCTAGATGTTGAGAATCTGAATCCCTGAGTCTATGAGATACTGTGACACTGCATTTAGATGAGCAAAGGTGGAGAATTTGAGTTACAAGTAGGACTTTTGGCAGCAAAAATATCATTTTCATATTCTGCTGGCAATTCTCTACAATGGAGTTGAAAGCAACCTTAGGATGGAGTTTTCTAAGACAAACCTTGAGACATTTTGTCAAGTGAATGAACATTAAATAGAAAAGTATAGGAGACATGGATGTAAAAGCTGATTGGTACCAGGCTGGGGAGGGCCCTGAATGCCAGGTTGAAGCAAATGGCCTTGGAGAACCCATCAGTGGCTCTGGCCAAGCAAGGCATGGCACAATGGG